GCTTTCTAAAGCTAAATGTCTAGAATATTGGCATTATATGAGTTTATATAAGTTTTTGTTGTGTAGTTAACTTTAAAGTGTAAGTTACACAATAAATACACAAACTTCAGAATCAAACAGAAAAGGCCAGTGTTATTTAATGACACAACGAAATTGTTATCGTACAGTCTACTTAGTCACAATTGCTAATTTAAAAGCCTTTTCCAGAATCCCGACCTTGAAGCCGAGAATGCATTCCAAAAATTGGATAATGTATTGCTAGCACTTGAAGCGCAGCAATTATTATTTTGTGTAGTCTTATCAACTAAAAAAATACATATCTTATGTTGCATATTGATCTCTTATTCAATTCTACAATTAAAATATATAATATAGACTTTTAAGAATTTATATATTATTTAGCAATTATACTTGTGCTTAGTTAGGAAACATTTTTTCAAAATTTTATTAAACTCACCAATGTTATTTTAACTTTTGGGCAAAAAATGGTTTGTTTTTCATTTACATCTGTTTGAAAAATGTTGAAAAAAATCGCAGTACCCTACTCCACAAAATAATGAACTCATTATAAAATCTTATTCTCTGCCAGATGATAACTTCTTTAAAAGCACTTGTAAAATAAAAGATAAACAAATCTGAACTTTAGTAAACTGTTTTTCCTATACACTCTACATCTAATGCAGTAAATGTTATTGTTCATATCAGAGAGAGCAACACTTCAGAACTGATAAATTTAATTCCTCGGGAAAAGTCTTATATTTATCAAATTGAATGTATTCATAAAAACATTCACTCTATGGAAATAAATTTTATTTATCTCTCTCTAGTCTTGAATTTCCTAAAAAAATACTTAAAACGGGATGCATTTTTTCTTCATAATAGCTAATATAGATTTATTATAACCTAAGATCTCAGTAAAAAATGGACCAAAGTCAAAAAAACACTTTGGTAGCTTTTTAATGATGACTACATTATAGTTGGGATAATTAAGTTAATTTTAATTGCAGAAAACCTGTACTGTATTATCCCTTTAATAGCTGACATATGCCCCCCCAACCCCTTAAAACTTTTCAATTGAAGGAAAATGGGTTTCCCTTATTTTGTCTTATAAGATATGTCAGATATACTATAAACTTCATAATTATTTGTTGAAAATGACTGTGAAATTTGTTCTTACTTTAGAATTTGTAACCATGCTATTATTTTAAAGTTTATTTGTTTGATGTTTAAAGTTTTAATCATTAACCTCCATTCTTGAGCATGAACAAAGGGGCATAAATTTCACATCTTTAAGAGAAATAAAATTTTTCATGATAAATCTTATTATATAAACAATTTATGTACTACATGAATATCCAACTGTAAAACTGTAAGGAGTCTTTGAGCTTTAACACATATTCAAACTTTGCCCTATCCTGGGGCATGCAACTTCAGTTTCATAATTTAGAAAAATGCCTTTCATATTTTGATTAACCTATCTACTTTTCGCTGGTACATTGTGTGAAGTACCCCGGTATATTTGAAATACATACGAGTTTGATAGAAGGCAATGCAGTATGCACAAAACTCAAGGATAAGAGTACATCAACATCAACTGTGTGACCCAGATAGTTGAAATAATAAATAGAAATGTATAAAGAAATGACAAACATACCTACAATCCTGGACTGCACAACATGCTCAGAGGCTGCATTACATACTGCAATAAATCCACCCTGAAAAAATAATTACAATGAAAATTTTAAACATTTTTGTGAATAACTAAAATTTGGACAAGATCTTGCATTACTTGTGAATCTATCTCTAGCATTTTAAGAACAAGTAACTTTTGAGGCCTGAGAGACTTAAAAGCAGTAAATTTTTGAAATTTTCACAATTTTTAACTCTATTTTAAGCTGTTACTGTGTCGATAAAAAAAATACCAGTATTCTTTAGATTATTTGAATGCTTCCAAAATTCCATAAAAAAATTAACCACAAAAAGTTACAGGTAGTTAGCATTAGTTCAATGTTCCTTTCAAAAAGTAGCCTTTTCTTACCTTGGGTGGATATTTGAATGGAGTATTTCCAAAGTTGAACTTCATTTCAGCATTCTACAATAATCATTAAGACATATCTAAAATCAGAATATGAAAGAAAATACCAGGAGAAAATAAAAAAAAAAGACATTAACATTTTGTTTAATTGCGAATTATTTCCCGAAAGAAATTAAATCTGATTTAATAATTAAAATGTAAACAATTTCCATATATCAGCAGGGCAAAGTTTGAATAGAATTGGCCTATTAATTTGACAATGTTATATAGAAATGTCATTTATCCAAACTGAAGTTTTTTCCTCTTATAATAGGAGGGTGATTGGACCTAATATTTATAAATTCTTTTTGAAACAAAATAGAATTTTTTTTTGTGGAAAAAATAAATCATTTATGCATTATAAATTATTTGGCATCATAAATTCCATACCTTTAGAGTAACAGCAGCATAGAACTTCTCATTTTTAAGATGTGCTTGGATGTCATAAGCTTTACCAAAATCCACTCCTGAAAAATATTTTTGGAATCGTTTTATTTGATATTTATGAAGTCAGGGCATTTAATTGGAAAATTAATTCATATCATGAGACTTTCATTAAATCCTAAAATTTTATACTATAACTGAAAAATTCACAAATTTTTATTGTGTTACTCTTACCATTTTTTGACCACTTGATTTCCAATTTGTCTAAATCCAGATAACAACCAATGGTGTCGTTGATTCCATAAGCCTGAATAAAACAACATTTGTATATTTTTCTTCTTTTTTTATACCAAATGGTGGCACTAATGCTTTAGAATCTTGCACAGCCATTGGCATAATTATTTGGCTTGACCTCTCACCTCTCCATAACTATCAAACTGCTTGCCCCAGGACTTCTTTCCAGTCCCCCCAAATCCGAATCCAAACTTGTCTATACCCAGTTCCAGAGTAGCCTTATCTGTGGACCAGCCCACTCGACATAAACCCTCATCTGTTACTGTGGCCTCATAATAGTACTTCCCTGTAAAATTTACAAGGAAATTGCTACAATTTAACATTTTCGTTTTTCTTTTAATGATAGAATGCAGGTCCTACTCTTTTATTTTAATACTAAATCACTGTTATTGCTCTGGATTAGTTTCGCCTCTATATACAAAATTCCTTTTCACAATATTTGAGTTAATTTTTCTTAAATCCATATTTTTTTTACTAACATAAACTTTTATTTATCGTTTAACTACATCTTTAAATCGATTGAATTACTTCAGAGAAAAAAAATCTTCAACAACTGTATTTTACGAAACTTTGTCGTTTGAAACTTGAATTCCCTCTACTTGCTAGTAGTACCAGTACATTTCTATGTAACACCTTACCTCCCCCCACCACGGCTTTGTTACTCCTGGTGCCGTGCCAGCCCTGGGGATCTCTGGCCTGACATAACAGTCCCTCTGGATCAATTGCTGGGTAAAGAAAATATCAAATATGAACCAGCAACTCTCACACATCAAACTCTAGCTCATAAGGAAACCATAACTATATATCGAGTTTTAAACAATGTTTACAAGATTTTTTCCACAAATCTTATATTTGTGCTTCAAGGATACCATTAGAGGTAGAATGTAGGAGTAAAAATTATCAAGAACAAGAATATATATTTAATAAACAGCAATACTTCAGTATCTCAGATACCCATATATCTCAAATACTGTGGATAGGTCAAAGTGATTGAAAAGTCCCAACCCTTTTTCATTCAGTATTTTAACCTCAAACTTTTGTACCTCAAAGTTTTCCTTGATCTGAGATAAAGAAAATAAATTGTAGTCAGAGTACATATATGAATTTAACATTAAATGAAATATGAATTCCTACCCATGGCATCACCCCTGTCATATGGATTCATCTTCCAATGTGCACTAGATGAATGACCTAAAAATATGCAAAATACATATCAACTTTATTCAAATAACATATCCAATTTATATCCAGTTAAAATAACTGTAAAACATCTTCCCCAGCAAATTTTCTTCTTATACAGTTTTAGACTAAAATATCTACAAAATATGGGAAAATACAAAGTCTTACATTATCTGTAATAAAATATTACTTTGATATCATCTGATATTTCTGCATTATACGTTTTTTTTTTTGAAGACAAGACAATTTACCAAAAAATCTTTGACGAGCAAAAATTGTTTCAAGAAATGTTATTGTGTGGTGAAGGGGTTTAAGGGAAAAGTTCCAATTTTCTTATGAATACATTAGCATAGGAAGATTTCCACCCTACCCCTTCGCCCACTACTTTATGCATAACAGAGTGGGATTTACCAGTGAAATGAAAACAATTAATCAAATAAACAAATTCATCCTTTTTATTTTGATCATTACCAGCATGGTGTGAGGAGAGTTTGCTCCCTTTTCCTTCCTGTTGGTCTCGAAGTGTCTCGTACACAATCTGGATGATTGGCAGACAAAATGCCTAAAATATAATAATAATTTCATCTTACCTAATGGAAATTTTGTTTCAAAATGCGAAAGGTCAATATACTTCTCAAAAAGAGAGAAAAATTTAAGCTTGGTTTTTAATTTCCTGATATCATTCCTTACCCCTGTTTTTCCACTTCCAGTTTCTGCTGCCTGTCAAATATAAATTCAGTTGGATAAAATTATTATTAGAAACTTTAAGATTAGTAAGAATTCCCTTGTGTGCTTATAAATTAATATGTGAATGAGCTATTTTATTACAATAGGTCTTTATTCTCATTTGTTTAAAAGGCCAGTTTCTTTTTCTTTGTGTTTGTGATCAGTCTGCTGTCAATAGAAGAAGAATTCCATTAACAGTTTAAATAAAAGTGCAAAATTTTTGGGGGGAGTTTCTATACATGTAGTAGTGTGTGTAATACTGATGACGTACCATTAAAACATCCCCTCCTCCCAGGATCATTGGAATGGCTTCAGCCTGCACATCTGTGGGCAAACTGAAATGACAAAGAAAACTTGCAAATACTCTCGCCATTTTGACTTAATTTGTTCTTTAACACTTGACACACATGTAGATTTATAGTGGACTTTAGGCAAATTTAAAACAGTGTACTATAGTTTCACCCATGATCACAGAGATCAAATTTTGATGCAAAAAATACAATTTCCTTCTAAAGTGAATTCATGGGCAGCTACCTCATTATATTCTATCATGGGTAAAATTGTTCGATAAAATAAATGACAGTGTATGTAAATGAACCATGGTATTTTTTTTATATGACCAGCAGTGTAACTGTCAATATGAAAATTTAAAACAGAAAAACTGGAAAGGGAAGCACATGGTTATTTTCTTTATCAAATCAAGATAACTTATGCTTAAGGTATTGTACAAAATGACAATTTACCTTCTTTGGAAGGTCATGATAGTCAAATATTACGTACATAGCTTGTTTAAATGCAACAACACCAAAATAATATCAATAAATTTTTCATCCAACTTTTCTTGAGGTAAACCGTCAAGATAGGGTAATGCAGAATTAGTAACAAATGACCATGCATATAGTAAAACAAAAAGCATCTAATAACAAGAAATTAACAGTCATGTTTCATAATAGTTCAAAATATCTGACGTTTTCCAGGCTTTTTTTCACCATTTTGATATTTTACGTGCCAGGAAAACATCATAACCAGCACCATTACAAAAACTAGGAATTCTCCACCTCAAACCTGAGGCAGCATTCTAGGTTGATTTTCGAATATTGCTAACTGAATTGAATGACAAACTCACTATTTATCAATAGTAAAAACTTTTGGGGACCATCAACACCCTTTTATGGTTCATTTACAAAATATGAATTATAATAATTTA